AATATATATATATTTTCTAATTGTTTGCTGAAATTTTCTATATGTATCCAGCTTGTTAATTATGCTGTTCCAATTTTTTATATTCTTACTGATTTTCTTTCTGCTTGATCTATCAATTATTGAGAAAGATGTGCTAAAATCTTCCACTGTGTTAGTGGGTTTATCAAGTTCTCCTTGTAGATCTGTCAACTTTTGTTTAAAAAAAAATTGGCCATGTTAATAGGTGATTGCACATTTAGAATTGTTATATCCTTCTGGTGAATTTGCTATTTTTTCTTATTATCAGGTGACTCTCTTTATCTCGAGTAATGTTTTTGCCTTAAAGTGTGTGTGTGTTGTTTTTTAATCTGATATTAAAATAGTTACTCACACCATTCCCGAAGCCAACTCTTCAGACAAAGATTAGACTGGACTATGGGACATAAAATGATACTCGTGAAGACAGTGCTTATTAGCTCAAGTAGATGCATGAGACTAAATGGGCAGCTTCTGTCTGGAGGCAAGATGAGAAGGCAGAAAGGGACAGGACCTGGTTGAATGGACACAGGAAATCGGAGGTGGAAAGGAGGAATGTGCTGTCACATTATAGGGAGAGTAGCTAGGGTCACATAGCAATGTGCGTATAAATTTTTGTATTAGAAACTGAGTTGAACTGTAAACTTTCACTTAAAGCACAATTTAAAAAAAAGTTACTTGCCTTTCTTTTGGTTAGCTTTTGCCTGGTAATACTTTTCCCATCCTTTGATGTTCAGTCTTTCTCTGTCCTTACATTGTAGTATAAATGAAGGTCTTTCTCTTCTAAACAGTTTATAACTGGATTTTGTTCTTTATTCATTCTGACCATCTTTGACCTTTTAACTGAGGACTTTAGTCCATTTACATTTATAGTGATTACTGATGTATTTGGATTTATTTCTACCCTCTTATCATGTGCTTTTTATTTGTCCACTTTTCTGGTTTTTTTTTTCCCTCCTCTTCTTTTGACTTCTTTTGAATTGAGTCTTTTCTTTCTTTTTTCATCCCATTTTCCCCTCTTCTTATTGGGAAGTTATATATTTCATGTCTAATTTTTGGTGATTACCTTTTGCTATTTTAGCATGCATACATGAAAAAGTGTGAGGTTGATGATCATTTTCCATTTATTTTATAATGCAACTTTCAAAGGAGTCACTCACATTCACCATGTATTGCCTCCAGCATAGAAATCTGAAAACCACTGTTTATGTTGCACTGTTCCTACAAGCCTGTCATCTTTCCCAGTTTGTCAAGGTGACATGTTTAAAAAAATTTTTTACACCATTTTTTCAGATCGAAAAACTGGGTCCTGGAATAGTCAAAGTACTTGTGCATAGAAATAACTTACCTGATGAAGAGGGAAAATGAGGTATCCTGATTATTTTTTCAACTATGAAGTACTGGAGATTTCCTGGGGAAACTTTTTTCCACACTTAGTTTTTAAATATTATTTTGATATACGTTGCCACCTAGCCCTCCTGGAAGGTTATATTATTTTACATATAGCAGCAATTGAAATTCATGACCAAGCTAACACTGAGTTCCTTCAAGTTCCTAAAAGACAGGGATCATGTCTTTTTTTTCACACTTGTATTATGGAAATTTTCAAACATATACATAAGTAGAGGGAATAGTATAATAAATCTTGCAGTGACTTTTTAACCTCAAATAACCATTAATAGCTTAGACAGAAAACATGGTGATAAAACAGAGGAATGAAAAATTAAATAGGGTTAGGTTTTATGTTCTATCTTTTAAAGGTCAGATTATTTTAAATCCTTGTTGTGTTTTGAGATTATAGTAAAGCTTTAATTAACAGGACCCAACAAACTGGAAACTTTTAGTAACTAGAGTCTTTCCTGGCGCTCTATTTTCAGTAGAGGCTCATTATAATGCGCTCATAACAGGGATTTATTCTAAAAATGCAGGATCAGGGAGTGACCTGGACTCTCTCCACTCTCAGCCTAGTCTCATACCTCTAATACCATTTCCAATCTGGAGGTGCATGGCATCACACAGACAACTTCTGCATGTCAATTTTGTTTGAAATGGCCTCTGGATGAAGCTATTGCAGAAAAATGACTTGTGAAGAGATAGCTAAAGGAAGCGAAGAAGAGGATTGCACCTTTCTTTCTTGCCTCCATTCTTATTTTCATGCCACCTCTGTGTACCTGGAATAAAGTCTCAAATATCAGTTCTAAGTCCATGCTCCTGGTTTTCGTCTCAGCTGATGGAATAGGACAGTGTAATGAAAAGGGCTCTGTGCTTGGAATTCAAGTCATGGCTCTCCTTCTTAGGAGCTAAGTAGTCTTGGGAAAGTTACTTAATCTTTCTGAGCCATTGTTAAATCACCTGTGAAACAAAGAGTTTAGACTGGAGATAATAACTATTGCCTCTTGCAGTTCTGGGTTTCCGTTATGTTCGAATCAGAATTTCCAGTGTCTGATCTTATTCTTGGGGAGTCTCATACCTAATGTGATTTGAGGGTGCCCAAGCTATTTCTCCCATCCACAATGCCTGAACTCCTACAATTAGTGGACCATTTCATTGGGATTAGCAATGCTTCCTCCTGCTAGTCTTCCTTTTTAAGAAGTATGTGAAGCACTGCCACTTCATTGTGAATGAGTTACTCAGGTCACTTTTTGCTGATTGGGAAAGGCAGGGGTTTTGATGTCCAGAGTTTGGAAGTGGGAAGGAAAGGTACAACATAGAGAGACTGGAAGGGTGTCAGAGACAGATTTGACCTCCTTCACAATTTTTCTGCAGCTTGGCTCTGAGCGTTGTTATGACTCAACCTCTGTGCTTGGCAAGGCTCAAACAAGAATAGTCTGTATTTGGGTACCAGATCTGGAACAGGGAGTCCCTGGCTGAATGTCAGATTCAGGTATTTCTGATAGTCTCTGAATGGACTTCTTTATTAGGTCTTTTGATAAACAAGAATTTGTTTAGAAGAGCCAAAACATCCCTTTGAGTAAACCATGTACATTGTTACAAAACCGTTAACAGGCATATACTCCCAGTCAATCACAATAACCAAGAATGGCAAGAATCTGGGTCACGGTCCCCTGTCCAGACCTAAGTGTCCTCTTTTCATCGTCTTCTTCTGGTCCTCTTCTCTTCTCAGCTCCACACTGGTCCTCAGTAGTTGCAGAGAATCCCTCATGTCTACTTGTTTGTTTATCATGCCTATCTCCTATCACCAGCACTTGATCTTTTCTGTTCTGGAGAAAAGCAGTTGAGATACTACTAGTAACACAAAATTTCTGCCTGTATCAGAAGAAAGGCTTATTAATGTGGTTGCTGCTTTTCTTTTCTCTAATAATAATACTCATAATTTATTGAGTCTTGCTATGTCTCAGACACTTGAATCACTCCATTTCATCCTCACATCTCTATACCCATTTCACAGATGGATTGCTGATATTGAGTCACTCTTCAAGGTTTTCCAGCTAGGGCTGTCTGGCTTCAGAGCTGAGCTTTTGCCCACTGCACTCGTCTGCCTCTCAGGCTTGATATCCACCTGCACACTTTTGGGGCTGGCCAGGCTGTCATGTGGGAGACAGGTTTCTTCCCTTGGTGGCAAACAATGATCATTCTCATGATTTAGGGAGGGCAAATCTAGCTCGTGGATGAGCCACTACAAAATTGTCACCCCAGAAAATTCAGATATATCCTCTTCCTGTTGTCCTTTCTGCACTTTCATTTCCAATTGTTCTTACAGTAGCCGGTAGCAAAATCAAAGGAATAATTATGACTGCTGTCCGGGTATTGAGGCCGAAAAGTCTTTAACTCTTTCTTGCCCACTAACTTGTGGGTAGCACCTGAACCTATCAACTTAACTGAATATACGTATTTTTTAAAACCTCATTTTAGTTAATAATTTCAACTTCTTCCCTCACTAAACCCTTTAACATGGATATCAGCACATGAATTTGAAATTTCTTTCCAAGATATAATTTAAAACAGAAACTTTGGCCTGGGAATCAGAGGACCTGGGTCCCAATTCTGGATCTGCCACTTATTAACCTGTAATGTTAGGCAAATACACTTAACCTTGCTGAATGTCAGTGTCCTCATCTATAAAATGGCAATACTGCCTGACTTACAGAGATGCTATGGTAGGGAACCTGTTATTAGGAAGTGTTTTGTAAATCCCAAAGTGCTCTACAAACATAAGAGAATATTATTCTTTACTTGACCATTAGAGGAGATGAAGCAAAATGTTCAAAAGGTCAACAGCAGGAAGAAGGAGACTTGAAGCAGTGTCCCAAGGAAGAGGTACACCAAAGATTGAACCATGGGGAAAAGTTGTGCCTCTCACAATTGGTTTCTAAGTTTTAGGGGTACAGATCCAAACTGGGTGTCCAGCTGGATCTGTGATGAACTTCAACCTTCTGACCTTCAGGAAACCAGTCTTGATTCTCATCTCAACTGAGTACCCTCCTTCTAGAGGAGTAGTGGCATGAGGATGAGGTGGGCCCTTGACACCAGAGAGGACAGGGACCTGGATAACGCTGGCTGGGTCAGCAAACCAAAAAGTAGAGAATTGATTGAATGCCACCTTGGTTACAAGCACTGAAATATTGCAGCGGAACAAGAGACAGGAGAAAAGGAGAGATATAGATCCTGTATGAAGATGTGGGCATCCCAACTCGTGAAAGTCAATCCCAAGTTAGAACAGAAATTGCCTTCTGGGTAGTCCAGACAGCGCCTAGCACAGTGTGAGCCCAAACTCAATACAATGCGGTGATGATGGAGAGTGTCCTTGGTCTCTTTCTTTTCTCTCCTTGGCTACAGGCTTTCCAGAGACATATGTGAAAAAGCAAGCTACCAGTGCCCAGAAAGACTATTGAAGGAAGGCGTGCGGACATTAACGGCGGCCCAGGTGCCCTGGTACTAGACCCCTTCTCCCTGCCCTCCCCGCTTCCCCCCCTCCCAAGCCGGCACAGTCAAGCTAGAGAGACTGAAAGGGTTTCACTTCCGCCTGGCTGCAGGAACCACAAGTCCCAGACTAGGTCGGAACTGGAATAATCACAGTCAAAATACACCCAGATGCTCTCACACACCCAGACGCGCGCGCATCCCCGGGCCATGGGGCGCACGTGAGTCCACGCCCCGCGCACCCAGCCCTGCCGCTCGCCAGAGCATCCTCCTCCTCCACCTTCTCTTCCTCCTCCTCCCGCCACCGCCACCGCCACCGCCACCGTCGCTGCTGCTGTGCCTCCTATCCCCTCTCGTCCGCCTTCCTCCCCCAGTTCCTGCTCCTCCTCCCCTCCCAGGCTCCTCCTGTCCGGCGGCGACGGGCAGAACCCTCGGCAGTGGCTCCCCTTCGCCCGGGCCGCGAAGAGGCTGAAACAGGTCTGTGCGGGGGGCGCTTTGTTGCGGGCTACTGGAGCGCTGCTGGCTCCGAGAGCCGCTGGGAGGACACAGGGCGGACGGGAGGGCAGATTATTTCTCAGTTTTTGGTCTCGCTCTATGAATAGATGGGGGGCGATGGGGTAGGGAGGTAGCTCGGTCTTTTCGCTGGTTCGCGGTCCCTCTCGATTCATGGCGAGAGAGCACTGAAGCTGTCCGGACTCCTGCCCCCGCCCACCCCAGAGCTCTCTTTCTTTGCGCCCCCACACCCCGCATCCACTTCCCTGGGCTGAGCTTTCTCTTGTTCTGGGAGCTCATGGATGGGGGTGGGGAGAGATGGATGGAGCTGATCGAGCGGGGCACCTGGGTGCATGGGGCTTTGTTACACACAACAAAAACCATTCCTCACCAGCCTCCGGCTCCAGGCTAGGCTGTAGTTGGCGGGCGCTGTGGGGTGTGGGCCGGGCCAACTAGGGGACTGAGAAAATGTGAGGGGGCACTCCCTGTGTGTGACTGGGCACACAGGAATGCAGTGGTGTGTGCCTGGGAGATGATGCGGGTTTTGTGTGGGATTCAGTGAGTGTGAGTTGGAGTGTGGTGTGTGTGTGTGTGTGTGTGTGTGTGTGTGTGTGTCTGCGCCATGGGGCTGGGCTGCTCTTGGCATTACATGTCCTTGGGTCTCATCCCATGCCAAGCCAGACTGCAGCAACACGCAGGTGGATCAGGTCCAACCTGTTCTGCCCACATTGGAAGAGTAGTGATGGTTTCAAAGTGATGGAAATCCCCCCAGCTGGGGCAGTAGTTTGGGACTATCTGGACTTGAGATTTTGAGCCCGATTGACCAAGCCCTACTAGACATCTTATTGTTCCTCTAAAGATGCCCAACTTTCTTAGTCGGTTTCTCTGTCTCAGCCAATGAGGAGCCAAAGCTCTTACGGTGATCCCTGCAGTGCCTCCTCCCTTTTAATTAGTGGATCCTCATGTCTTCCTTACTGCAGTGATGTTAGTGGTGTGCTAGAATTTAGCTGTATGTTTAAAGAAAAAGGAACATACTAGATGCATTCATGTGTTAGTGATGAATTTGGTTTAGAATTTTTTTTTTTCTTGAGCCATAAGATATGAACTGGTATGGTTATTTTTTTAAATCAAAGAAAGAAGAGATCAATAAAAATGAACAAATCTGCTAAACCTTCTCTTTAACTTTATTTTTTGTGTGGTTTTAATAAAGCATTGTTTTGCAGGGTCCAACAATGTACAGTTAAGGGTAGTGATCATTCACTCAAGTCAAATAATCAACATTTATTGAACACTTGCTATATGTCAGTAGTAATGTTAGGTATCAGAAGTATAACAATGACAAAAAACCCATTACCATCAAGTCAATTCCGACTCATAGTGACCCCACAGGACAGAGTAGAACTGCCCCATAGGGTTTCCAAGGAGCGGCTGGTGGATTCGAACTGCCAAAATTTTTGGTTAGCAGTCGATCTCTTAACACTGCGCCACCAGGGCTCCACTGAAAGTAGGGAAATGAATAACACATCATTTCAGATCTCAGGGAGTGCACAGTCTGGTAGGCGAGCTAGAGAGTGTAAACAGACAATTACAGTAGAGCATGATAAGGGACAGGCAAGGTCCTGTGTGGGAACAGAAGAGGGGTGCCTGTCTGGGGATGAGAAGTATGATCAAGAAAGGCTTCACAGGGAAGGTGACATTTGAGTCGGGGCTTGAAGAATGAATTCTCCAGGTGGCTAAGTCGGAAATGATATCCTAAGTGGAAGGAACAGCATGTATAAAGGCAGAGGGGCTATAGTTTGAGTAAGACTGCAGGGAATCCTCAGAAATGTTACTGTTGTTAAATTCTCAACAAACTTGTGAGTCTCCCTGAACTGGGGTGGTGGTTAATGGTGAATTCAAAAGGAGCTAGTATTGCAGATCGATAAGGATCAGAACATGTCCCCATCTTTAGAAACATCTGACTTATTTATTAATATTAGTGTATCTTGCCTTAAGTAAATCTGATATATATAAATGAATTTACAAGGCAAATGAACTGGTTGGAGAGTATCCACATTGCAGAATTTATTGCTTTACAAAGGGATTCATAATCAGGTCATCTTAAATAACAGAGTCTCTTTGACCTTTACAGTGAATCTTGTTACCAAAAATCCATTTATAGAGAATTTTTCACTTAGCCAACGGACAGATAAAGAGAGGTGTACCTGCATTACATTTACTTTTTGCACAGAAAGTTATCCATTCGAGTGCAGGCATTTCCCTTATGCTGCGGATGTTAAAAGAAAACATGAAAATGGTAGTAATAAAGATGAAATACATGAGCTATGATCTTTTGTCATTTGAATTGTATATGAAATAAAAATTAATCAGGACAGGGTCTTCAGGGACTTTCTACATTTTAGGTACTTTCAGTAGTGTCAGTGGTAATTAACAATAGCACAAGATTTCTGTGCTGTATGTTATTTTTGAAATGGATATATAATGAGTACTGTAACGCCCATGCAAATAGCCAGAACAGGGGCATGTTCTGAGTCTCCTGTTGTGTTGTGTTGTTGCTTATTGGATAGGCTGATGAATGGCATTGGAAATAAGCCTAAGAGATTGATGATTTCTACTGGAAGTGCATGGTGGGCACAAAATTATGCTAGTTAAGAGTGTGGGCTCTGAGGGCCTGAACCAGCATCATGAGCACCTCCCCCCTTAAATGAAGACCAAAAATAGCCCTGGGTTCTATTTGAAAGGAATGCCGGCAGAAGTGGGTGGGCTTGAATTGACATCCTCCTAGTCTATTGTATGCACTGCTGTAGAGGAGATGATGGCCCAGTTCCTTTGGGCTCATCAAGGTCCTTTGTTCACTGGCTCTCAATACCAGAAGGCTTAAGGCAATATCCCTAAGAAATGTCCCCCATGGGGCTCGAACTCCAATAAAATTGATCTGTTTTCTCTGTGGATACTCAGTGCAATCCAGTGGCTAGGCCAGTGCTTCCCAATGTGAGTTCCAAAGAAGGCTAGTTCCACAGGATCTTAGTAGATGTTAAACATACACACACATTTTAAAGGGTTTTGTGGTCAAGGTAAGTTTGAGAAATTCTTGCTTGAACAGAAACAGGTTTGTTTACTGCAGGGTTTCTAAAAGCCTTTACTAGGCTATTGCATATTGTGACTCTCCAGGAGAATAAAATAGGCAGCATTTCCCAGATGTATTTGCCTGCAGAGCCTGGTGTTCCAACAAGCCCGTTGGTTGGCCTGGTGTTGTGAGGAACGTACTTTGGGCAGTGCTGGGCAGAGCATATCCCTCTGAGGTTGGAAACTGTAAGTATCTTGCTGGGTAAACTTGGATGACTTGCTTCACCCCTCGCCTTTTCTTCCCCCGTGTGTAAGATGAAGCTGATAGTAATCATTGCTCTCACTGAAGTGATGGTGTGATGACAACTAAGATAATATCTCTGCAAGTATTTTGAACTCCTTAGAAGAAGGCTGTATATAAACTCAAGGTTATCATGAAAGGGAAGTGGAGAATTAAGGCAATTATCTTGATAACTCCAGCCTAAATCCTGTTTTCTGCTGTGTTGTTGGGCGGGCTGCCTCAGTTCTCTGCTCTGCTTTGACTGCAAAGACCTATCCTCATTCAACCTTGAGTGACTCAGCTCTCAGCTTATTTCCTTTCACATCCTGAAAATTTCAGCATGGCCTTTAATTTCCTGGTCCAGAGGTATCATCAGTACAGTCCCAAGAAAAATCCCATCAATCTGAACACACCCTGCTGACCAGAGAACCCTGGAGGCAGGAATTAAGTTTAGTTGGAGAGTTGCTTTTATCCTTAAGACTCGTTATCTTTTCAAAGCAGTGCTAAAGGGCCATCTTGGAGGCTCTGTTGCAGGGTTCATCTCCAGAGGCCTTAAGGCGCAATCTGGGCTGGAGTCCTGTTTGCAGCCTAGGTTTCTTGAGCACTAAGTGCAGGGGTCCATTTTATCAATGGGAAGGTGTGGCCATGTTTAAGGAAATTTGAAGGCAAAGGAAGTAGCACTCCCATGACTATTGACTAGTCAAAGGAAACTATTGCTGTTTCCTTTGACTCCTCACTAATACCCTTGATCCTTTTTGTTTTTTTTTTAACAAGCTGCCTTGAAAGAAGAATGGAGCTCTTGAGAATTCATGGCTAATAATCATTGCAAACTGGGTTTGGGGTAGACACTGATGTGGAGGCATTCTGGGCTACTGGTTCTAGAGTGCTCAGTGTGTTGGTGATCAGCCATTCTCCCTCCGTAGGAAAGCAACAAGCTTCATTTGCAGTAGAATGATTCAGGTTAGAGAGAATTGTGTGACTTTAAGTCTATATGACACGGGGAAGTGAGAGTGAAGTCATTCTCTGTTCTGGAGAGCTTAGTGATGCGGAGATGCCTGTCGAGTCAGGGAGATTTATAGAAAGGTGGAGCTGCAAGTGCCTTTAGAAGTTCATCTGATCCAAACCTTCCGTTTGCCTGAGGAAAACAAGGACCAGAGAAGTGAAGTGAATTGCATAAGGTCACACGCTACCACATGACGGAAGTAACAGTAAAGGCTAAAACACAAATCTGCTGCCTCCCAGTGTTATTTCTACTAGACCTAGCTGCCTTCTTATGTAGTTCAGAAGAATGTGGGTTGACTTGTTCAGTGGGACTTGGAGGTCACGTCCAGGCCTGAGCTGTGTGGGTTCTCCTGTGGCTGCTTTAGCAGAGGAACAGTGGATCCCTAAAAGGCTGTGCTGCTTCTCTCTATCCCTCTCCACTCCTCCTGAGTGTGTGGTTGTCTGACTTACTGAGCCAAACAGCCAGCTGGAAACCCGACGACTGGGTGTTCTGCCCTAGGTTCTTAATGGGTGATTTAGTCATTCCAATCCCTCTACCTTTTTGTGGACCAAGGACCTCCTTGAAAGTCTGATGAATGCTACTGAGGCACTCCCCGGAGAAAGGCCCACATTCAATAACATGTACATGTAATCTCAG